TTTGGAGTAATAAAGTTATGGTGTTGAAGTTTAAGAACCTTAGACAATTACAATGTAAATATGATACAAACTGATGTAGTATTATGGAGTTAGGTACCTAAGCTTATATAAGGTTGTTAGGTATATTCACTTTTCTATATATATATATATATATATATATATATATATATATATATATATATATATATATATATATATATATATATATATATATATATATATATATATATTCCAAAATTAAAACGAAATCATATTCCTATAAAAACGCAATTTGCTTCCTATTTAGAAATAGTATCATCGTTAAATAAGAACACCAACATCTCAGTCCACAATATTGGCCACCGCTACCATCATGGAGGAAGGGAATCTCCGGCAGCCATTGCCACTCCTAGGCCACGGTTACACATCCCATCGCGACCCGAACATTACCTTCGAATGCGCTCTACCACTTTGAAGGTGGAACTCGTTTTTTGTTTAAATCAATTTAGGATTTTTCTTGAGTAGAGTCTTAAGGAAATGTAATTATTCACCCAAAAAAAAACATTTGGTCGATTAATCTCTTTTTCAATTAAAACTTCAAAAGTTTTTTTTTTTTTTTTTTTTTTTTTTTATCGGTTCAAAAGTAGAAACCATTTAGTTTTTTTTTTGTTTGTTTCCTTTTTCTTTGTGCATCCAGAATATGAACCCAGTTTTTTTTTTTTTTTTTTTTTTTTTTTTTTTTTTTTTTTTTTTTTTGTGTCGTGAAATCAAACTAGAAGCAAAACAAACTTCTCGTTATATGAACGCAATTGAATAAACAACTATTCTCCTATTACGAAACAGGTAAGATAAATCATAAATGCCTGAAAATATGGTTTGCTTGATGGTTTTTATATATAAATGGAGCCAAATTCGTGATTGAATAGTTGGGGACAATTCCTCATCGAGTATTAAGGTATGGCATGAAATGAATGGTATAATTAGTTTAGTTTTTGTTACATGACAAATTGAAAATGATGGCATGACTGTGATGGGATTTTCACAGGTTACACATTTGTGGACACACACATATATATATATATATCTTCTCTATACTAATAAAAGACTAGCTATTTTGCCATGTATCACCATATTAGACCTTTTAATTAATATATTACCACTTATCAATCTATTAGTTTTCCATTTTAAATTTATTACACCTCCTCATTAATATGATACTATTTGTTAATATATTTATTCTCTATTTTAAATTTTAAATTTTATATTATTGTATTCATTAATTCATAAATAAAAAATGTCTAATATATAATAAAAACTAATTTTACATATTTCTTTTGAATTAACGATTAAAATTTCACATAACTAATAAAAATCTCTTAATTAGTAATTTATTTAAAATAAATGATTGATAATTTTAAGTTTTTACTATAAAAGTCTAATTAATTTTATAACCGTGATTCCCACGGGTTATAAACTAGTACTATAATAAATGAAGGTTTTTTTGTCATATGTTCTCTTCTCATTAATTTGGACACATGGTATTTTCCAGATTTTTAAAATTTTCTATTTTCCACTTGTCATTTTCTTGTATTTTTTATTTTATTAAATTAAAATTCCACATTTAATGTGTAACGTAATATATATGTATAGTATTTATTAGAAAGAGTTTATATATGTAGTGTATTCAATATATTAAAGTCTTATTAATTTTAATAATTCAAAATTTTCTCATTTTTCTTATAAATTCAAAGTTTTCAAATTATTAGTTTCTTTTTTTAATTAAACTCATGTAATACATGGGTCTCACACCTAGTGTATATATATATATATATATATATATATATATATATATATATATATGTAGATCCGGTAAGAAATTTTTTTTTGGTAGGAAGGTAAGAAGTTTTTTTTCTACATATTTTTTTGACGAACAAAAAAAATGAATCACTAGATGATTCATTTGTAAGATGATTCACAAGAAAAAATTCTCAAAAAAACATCTATATGATTCATTTTTAAATAAATTAAGAAAAAATCCACTTTTATGACAATTTTAGTAAATAACAACAAAATCATTATATAAATGAATCATCGAGATGTTTTTTTGAGAATTTTTTTCTTGTGAATCATTTTTCAAATGAATCATCTAATGATTCATTTTGTTTGTTCGCGAAAAAAATATGTAGAAAAAAAACTTCTTACCTTCCTACAAAAAATTTCCTTCTTAATTGATGTTGACTCTATATATATATATATATATATATATATATATATATATATATATATATATATATATATATATATATATATATAGAGAGAGAGAGAGAGAGAGAGAGAGAGGGAGAGAGAGAGAGGAAAAGTAAATATACTATTAAGGGTATATAAACTTAGGTATTCAAACTCACCATAATACATCATTTTGTTTGATATATTCATTATAATATTCTTAAACTTCAATCTCTAACTTGATTTACTTTCAAGATTTTTGAAATTTCACTATTATCTTCTTCTTACATTTCATATTTTTGCCGAACAGCTAATAAACTATATATATTATAGTTGAAAATGTAAATCATGTTAGAAGTTGAATTATAAGAATATTGAACAATTACAATATATATATATATATATATATATATATGGGGATAGGGAATATACATTATAGCCCCACCCAAGCTTAGTTACTTTAATATTCTAAACTGCTTCGTTTGGAGACTAATTTACATTATACCACGTCGTTTAAAATTAAAACCCACATTAGGGAAGACAACAATAAAAAGATATGGCATTTGTTGAAAGAAATCGAGATACAGAAGCCATAATTGAACGTAAGTAGGTTCTCAATCCCCTGTGTTGCTTTGTAGTCACGGGAACACCAAAAAAAGAGGGTAATCGTTGTTGTTGGTGACGCTGACCATCGGAGACGACAGAGGCGGCGTACAGCCGGAGGTGGCCAGAGAAAGATGTAAGTGTAACCAATTTCATATTTCTGCTATGCAATTTCATATTACCGATTCATATGAAGCCTTGGTCAGATTTCCTTTATTGTTAATTTACTCACTCACAAACGATTGAAGCCATTGGCGGAACTAGCATGGAGTCAGGGGTAGCCCTTGCTACCCCTCATATTTATTCCTCATTTTCTTTTCCATCTGATTTTCGGTGCTAGTAACATTTTGTGATCAAATATGTGCATATCAAGTGTTTGATGGAATGCATGAATGAACTTCACTTCTTATTGTTGCTTTTGTTTGCTATTTAGCAGCATATGGGTTAAGATTCTCGTTAAACATTAACCGATCCTAATAAAAATTACATGAATTAATTATAAAAAATAACTTGAAATCAAATGTTTTTCCTTTCATTTGGAATTGGTACACCAACTTCCAAGTAATGATGACAGTAGAATATGATATTCTTGTCATTTGTTCAATTGATGTGATCATAACTGGAAGCATGTTAAGGCTGTTCTGAAATCGAGTTTTTTGGTCATGCTAAAAGATCCATTTTACAAAGAGAAGATTTTGATGTGGTATTATTGTTTTGTATGTTAAGGCTCCTCTGTCGATTGAAGGAATCTGCATATAATTATGGTGGTATTCCCATAATTCTCCATTCATAGTATAATTAACTCAGTTTTGTTGTTCCAGATTCAAGATCGCCTCTCCTGATATTGGACCTTTTACTTCAATAAACACTAGCAATCAAGAACTTGATGAGAAGAAATGAGTTTCCACCTGATTTGGTTACTTACAACATGATTTTGAATTATTATTGTGATGTATTGATGTTAGAAGAAGCTGAAAAGCTAATAAAAAGTATGGAACGAAGTGCACATCATGTAGGTAGCCAAGCATATCGCCTCTAAAAGTGTTGGGTTTAATGGTCACCATTCATGTTTGGAAGATTTGAAAGTTCATTGTCATTAGTTGTAATTAGTTGTAAGGATTTGGTAACTTTATATATGGTGCTACCATATTTTTGGTCTTTTGTTTCAGTTTGTAATATGTACATTCCCAACTATTAGTGGGGTTTTTTTTATTATAATAAAAGTATTATTTCAAATCTCAAAAAGACTATGTTGATTACTAGATTTGGTTACTGTTGCATTATACTTATTAACAACATTATATTTGAACAAATCTTCCTATTAACATAATTACACTTTCAACTCATTGCAAAAGTCTTAATAAGGCATTAATTTCTAACAAATAATAGCAGCTTAAGTTTATATTTAACACTTATACAATATACTTTCATTTTTTACCCATAATACCTTGTCCTTTAATTTTTAATATATAATAGCATCATACATTCCTTTTTTTACACATAATAGCATCTTACATTTATTTTTCACACATAGTACCCCCGTACTTTCATTTTTAACATATAATAGCATCGTACTTTCATTGTTTACCCATAATACCCCTATCCTTTCATTTTTAATTTATATTAGCATCATACATTCTTTTTTTACACATAACAACATCTTACATTTATTTTTCACACATAATACCCCTGTACTTTCATTTTTAACATATAATAGCCTCGTACTTTCATTGTTCACACATAATACCCCTGTACTTTCATTTTTAACATATAATACCATGTACTTTCATTTTTAACATATAATAGCATCGTACTTTCATTGTTTACCCAAAATACCCCCGTACTTTCACAGTTTACACATAATAGCATTAACTATTCAAAATTTTCATTCCAAAATAGCAACTTACACGATTTATGTCCAAAACTGAAGAAAAAAAAAGACAATTAACCAAAACTAGAAAAAAGAATAATCAGCCAAAATTAGAAAAAGAGGACATTTAACCAAAACAAAATGTCATGAACCATATAGATTTTTCACTTTCTCACATTAACTACATATCTCATCATTTTTTCTCTTGCAACGCTTCATCCACCTGTTACATGAAAATATAAATAGATTATTATATAAATATAAGAACTCTAAAATCATGAAAAAGTAAGTTAATACTATAAGTACCTTTCTTTTAGAACAACTAGTAGCATAATGACCCAATCCTTGACATTAAGAGCATGTTCGTTTTTTTTGGCACTTCTAAAGAAGACTTGATTCTACTAGCAATTTTAGGATGCCCTTTTGTGTTAGTAGGACCAAGGGGATCTCGTACAGATAACTGAGGCATCATATCAACTTGTGAAATTCTCACACAAGAACCTTGAGATACGTTCTCAACCGGTATAGGTTTTTTTCGGATTGCTTGATCTTGTAAGAGCTTTATCAATATGTTATTGACGTTTTCGATTTCTGAAGGGGAGTCTTTTTCTTGTTCAATTAATTTATTAAAATTTGAACGGACACACCATAACGTGTAAGCACTAACTCCATTTTCATTATTCATTTCTTCGAGTCCGATGCTACGTTTACCCACCTTATACCTAACATTAAGGGTCCACCGAGGTAAAATGTAGTGACTCGGAAGTGTGTCAACATGCCTCTTCTTCATCACATATAGGCTATGTTTGCATAAAATCCCACATGTCTCATACTTAGCACAAGAACATGTGACGTGCATCTTGTTTAACAAACAAAAGCTAACAATCCGCCAATATTTTTTGTCAACGTCTAGTTGCCCGACTCGATACTTGATTTCTTCTGTACTTTTGCTTAGAGTCTCATGCGTTAAATTGCTAGTAGCTTCTATCCATTATTTTTTGAAAATCTCAAAAACCTTTCGAGTATAACACTTACCTGCCTTTGCTTCAATTGGATGTATTGAGGAAAGAACCAGCCTCGAGTTCATGGTTTTAAAATCTTCATCTTCTTCGACGGCCCTTCGTGAAGCAATTGCTTTGTCATATTGTACTAAAAAATCATTCAACGTGGTACTCGAGTTAACAAAATCATCAAAAAAATGAATTAATACTTTCACTTCGTCCACTTGTTGTCATACCGGCCAAGAAAATTTCCTTTAAGAAAGCTTTAGCCCAATGTATTCGTTGGTTATACATATCAGTTATCCAACAATTGTTTTCGAGTTTATACTTATCACGTATAACTTCCCACCTAGTTTCAAATTCTTTAATTGTGTCACTCATTACCCATTCTTTATACGATTCTTGAAAATCACTATAACGGGCAACGTAAGGTCGGAGGTGCTCCAATGCATGCTTTTTTATATGCCACGCACAAAACCGATGTCGAGCGTTTGGAAACACTTTTTTTATTGCATTTCCCATAGCTTTGTCTTGATCAGTAATAATAGCCTTCGGATACTTGCTAAACATACATTTTAGGAAATGCTCAAACAACCATACAAAAGTTTCTTCTGTTTCATTTTCTAGCAACGCTCCACCAAAAAGTATAGACTGTCCATGATGGTTCACCCCAGTAAATGGAGCAAAAGGCATCTTGAATTTATTTGTCATATAAGTGACATCAAACACAACATCTCCAAATTTAGTAAAATCATCTCTTGATCTTCCATCATCCCAAAAAATATTTCTAGGACGCCCGTCACTACACAAATCCACATCATAATACTGATCATTATCCATCAATGCTTTATCTTGTAGATGTTTTATTAATCCATAAAACTCCCTTCCTTTGTTGTGTTTTCGTTGCTCAGATAATACATCAACGCATTGTTTTGAAGTTACATAAACTTCATTTGAGGTTTTCATTGCATTAATGGCCTTTTTAATTTGAGAAGTTTTCAACCCTGATTGATTAAGTTGCATCATGAGACATTTACATTCCATTGTACGATGGAACTTCGCATGAGACCGATGCTTCATCACCTTCGTTGGTGTGATGCTCAATTCATGATTATGTGTGTCGTCAAACAAGTCCACAAACCATTTACCATCCTTCGTTTTTGAAATTCGAAGCATTGCCTTACATCCGACTCTAACTTCTCTACGACGTTTCTTCTCATGTCCACTTGAAGTATTACCGTCCTCCCGTTTAAAACCTTCTTTGTTGCATACAAGTATCTTTCGATAAGGTTCATTTGTTTCCTTATTTTTGTGTGTAGTATGAATACGTATACCAAATCCATGTACAAATGCATAATCATTATAGAAAGCATAAGCATCATCGGTTGTATCGAAAACCTTTCCGAAAATGTTTTCATCATTAACTTCATCTTTGTCACAATCAACGTTCACATCGACCCCATTTATTTTTTCAGATTCATATGTTGCTATTGACAAACCATCTATGTCAACATCTTCAGTTATATGTGTTTCGATAGGGTTAACATCAACTTTAGTTTCATTCATTGTGTACTACACAAATAAAAACAATGAGAAGCAATTGTTATTAATCAGACAACACTAATGACAAAAAAATAATAATAAAATAAAAAAAAATAAAAAAAAAACTTCAATATAAAAACTAGAATTGAATGGTAAATTAAAATGATCAACAATAATGAAAAAAAATAGGAAAACTTAAATATAAAAACTAGAATTGAATGGTAACTTAAAATGCATTGAATGATATAAACCTACAAGTGTAATTGTAAGGTTAATTATGTATTCAAGTCTTTATTGTATGAATGAAAAACATTGAGAGTGTCAATTATTAAATATTTGAAATTCTAGAAGAAACCTATCACTTTTGAATTGAATGTAACGCAATTATTTAATTATATTTCATTCACCTACGTGTGTGATTTCTTACGCTAGGGAAAACTCCAAAGTGAATCCCTAAATATTGTAATTGAACTTCTATAAACTTCACGTAACAAAAGATTTTGAAAAAAAAAATCACGTACGTGAGAAACCAAGGAATTCATGTAGCAATCGAACTTGGAGAATTTCACAAAACTACACACGATAATGAATAATCAAAAGAAAGTCGTTTGAAAAAAAAAATTGATTCATATTAGACAAAATTGCAAAAATGGTCCTTGTGTTTGGCAAAATTATGCGACTTTGGTCCAAAACGATACTTTGATGCATCACTGGTCCAAAATTGGATTTTTCCATTGTTTTTGGTCCCTCCCATTCACTTCCGTCCATATACTCCGTTACATGCAATAAAGACCGGGGTATTTTCGTCTTTCCACCTCCATATCATCGATTACCGCCATATTGAATGATATACACAGTTAATGACACTTCACTCTACGCACTAAACCCAACTTGTTGATCGAAAACCCTAATCATTCATTGAAATCTTGCATTTGATCATCAACCGCAATCGTAAGTTTGAATCCACGAGTATGGTCCAAATGTGGGAAATCAGGCCAAGAAATCAGTGTTTTGATGCAATCCGAATTTACGGTAACGTACTCTGTTTCTTACATATTTCTTTGAAACAAAAAAAAAATCTTTTACAATCCATATAAAGTAATGTTTTTTTGGTTTGGTTCATGATTTTTACAGAAGGATATCCCACGATGTTCACTATTGAGCTCCATCATGGAGGGAGGTTCACAAAATTCCCAGGGATAAGCTACATTGAAGGAAAATTAGACCACATTGACTTGGTAGACATGGATGAGTTCTCTGTGCATGAGTTGGACGAGGTGATGCTGAAGCTTGGTTATGATGTACCACCAGTCATTTACTACCACTATCAATTGCCAAATGGAGATTTGGAGTTTGGTCTTAGAGCTCTAGGGAATGATATTGATGTACTTAGTCTTGCACAGTACATTGAACATCATAAGATCATCAAGGTATACACTGAACATAATGAAACTAAGTTACTTACATACTTTATGTCTCCAAGAGTTAAACCTAGGGTCATAATTGAGGAAATAGCAGATGATGTGCCCACTGCAACTGTTGGTGATCAAGATGTCCCAAATCTTGAATTGTGTTTAGTAAGATATGAGACACCCGAATACAATTCAAATAAGAGATTGAGGTTAGTTGATGGGAGTCAATCATGTAGTAAGAAATTGTGTTTCAACTTGGAACACACTGCAACTGTTGGTGATCAAGATGCACATGTTGAAATTGGTAATGAAGGTGCAAATATTAGTGAGCAAGGTGCAACTGTTAGTGGTCAAGATACACATGTTGAAATTGGTAATGAAGGAGCAAATGTTAGTGATCAAGGTGCAGCTGTTGGTGATCAAGATACAGAAGTTCATGATCAAGGTGCAAATGTTGGTGACCAAGAAGTAAATACAAGAGAGTTTGATACCTTTGATGACCAACCATTTCAATTTGAAGACTTTGATCCTTTCTTTGATCAATATACTTTTAATGATGGTAATGATCAGAGTATGGGTGTTGGTGCAGAACTTGGCACAGGACTAGGGGAAGTTCAATTTGAAAGTGAGGGAGTTTGTGAAGGACTTGGTGAAGGAGGTAGTGAAGGGGGTAGTGAAGGGAGTGAGGAAGACAGTGACTTTCTTGAAGATGAAGAAAACTATGTAAGTGATATTGAGGTGGACATGAGTGATTTCTATATGAATGTTGATCTAGATGTTGAATATGTTGACAGAGGAAAAGGTGTTGAGACTGAAAATGAAGTTGTTGATACAGAAGATGTTGAAGATGTTGAAGTAATTGATAATGATGAATGGGACTCATTAGGTGAAGATAGTGATGATGAAAGAAGGAAAGCAATATTAAAACAGATGGTGAAGGAGAAGAAGTGCTCTCTTGGTGAAGTCCATACAGTTACTTTTCAAGTGGGTCAAAAGTATAAAAGTAAAAAGGAAATTAAGGACAAAGTCAACAAACTTGCCATTGAGACTAGAAGGAATCTTGGCTTCAAGAAAAACGACAAAACAAGGCTTAGGGTTGTGTGTAAAGGTAATGTACCTAATGTAAATGCAAGTGGGGTAGGTAAGGGCAATAAATTAAATTGTTCTTGGTCAATGCAGACTTCACGGTCAAAAGATAGTGATTATTGGTATGTGAAAACTTTACTGGACAAACATACTTGTGTTCAAACTAGAAAACTTAGGGCTTGCACTGCGAAGTATATATCTGCAGAAATCTTAGACATGGTCGAGTCTAACCCTACAGTACCCCTTCGAAGCATTCAAGAGCAAGTTCAGAAGAGGCTTCAAGTTGGTGTGTCCATACACAAAGTACAGAGAGCAAAAGCAACAGCTACAAAGCAAGTGAGTGGTGACTACACAAAGCAATACGAGGTGTTAAGAGATTATCTTATGGAACTACAAGCAACTAATGTGGGTACAACTGTGAAGCTTGAGGTTGTTAATGAGCCTAACAGTACTAGAGAAACAAGGCAGTTTAAAAGGGTGTATATTTGCTTAGGGGCATTAAAGAAAGGGTTTAAAGCAGGTTTAAGAGATATTCTGGGACTAGATGGTGCTTTTATGAAAGGACCCTTTCCAGGCCAAGTACTCACAGCAGTTGGATTGGATTCAAACAACGGCATATACCCACTTGCATATGCCATTGTTGAGACTGAAAATATGAGTAGCTGGAAATGGTTTCTAGAATGCTTGGGAGATGACTTAGAGTTGTACTCAAATTCTAACTTTACTTTCATGAGTGATAGACAAAAGGTACTATTTTCTTCTTTTTGTATTACTAATAGTTTATTTGTATATGATTGTTGCAATGATTATGTGAAATAATCCTTTACAGGGACTCTTACCTGCTATTGCACAACTATACCCACAGGCTGAGCATCGATTCTGTCTAAGACATATTTATGAGAACATGAGGAAAAAATGGAAAACAAAAGAGTATAAAGATCACTTATGGCAGTGTGCAATAGCAACCACAGTACCAGAATTTGAACACTACATGAATGAACTTAACAAGTTTGATAAGGATGCTTTTGAGTGGTTGAAGAAAATCCCCCCTCACCATTGGGCCAGAAGCCACTTTTCAGGTTACATTCCCTAACTTAGGTGAAGCTTTACTAGTGCTCATTGTATATGGTTTAGTTCATATAATTTTCTTGTTTAATACAGGCAGAGCAGGATCAGATATATTGCTCAACAATTTATGTGAGGTTTTCAACAGTAAGCTTATTCATGGTAGGAATAAGCCCATCATAAGTTGTCTTGAGTACATCAGGCAGTACCTTATGAAGAGGATTTGCAATGTGAAGAAAGTGATGTCCAAAGCTCCAGGTCCACTCACTCCAACAACATCAAAGTTACTTGAGAGAAATAGGGAAGCTTCAGTCCAATATAGAGCTAGATGGAATGGGACTGCAAAGTATGAAGTTTATGGTCCTTGGCATGACCAGCATGTGGTTGACATGACAAATATGTCATGTACATGTAGAAGGTGGGAATTGAATGGGATTCCATGCAGGCATGCCATAGCTACAATACATGAAATGGCTGATAGTGGAGACAAAGTTGGGGAGCTTTACACTTATGTCAACAAAGTGTATTGGCTTCAAACATGGAATGAAGCTTACTCTTACACTGTGGACCCTATAAAGGGTAGAGCCATGTGGCCAAAAAGTACCTGTCCATTTCAATTAACACCACCACCACATCACAATCAACCTGGGAGACCTAAGACCAAGAGAAAGAGAAGTGCAGATGAAAAATATGATAAACAGATGCAAAATCATGGTGCAGGTGAACCTGAAAAACTTACCAGAAAGTTTGTTAGTGTTAGGTGTGGGAAATGCAACAATAGGGGTCATAACTCAAGGACGTGCAAGGGTCAAGGTGGGAATGCAGGAAGAAATGAAGGAGGGAATGCAGGAAGCAGTCAAGGAGGGAATGCATGATGCAGTCAAGGAGGGAATGGAGGTAGCAGTCAATGCAGGAATTAGTGTATTTTGTTTAAAAACTTATCTTTTGGTTTAGCACAACTTTTGTGCATTTGGATGTAATGGTTTAAAACTAGTTTGTTGTAATGGTTTTATTTTGGTCTTTTAGCCCTTTTGGTCATGAAACTAATGTCAACCTTTTGTCATTGTTGAAGAATGATGTTTATGGTTTATACCAACTGTTGGTTGTCATGTTTATGGAACACATTTTTGGTTATAAGAACTGTTTTCTGAAACAACAAATAAACATTAACATTCGGTGATAACTGCAATACATTGTCATTATATCCTTGAAAAGGTTACAAATTTCTGAAGTTGTCCAAAATAACCCTAAACTGATATTACATTATCAAATACCAAAAACTACCACATTCCCTTGTTACAATTTCATAAGACAAAAAACACCCAAAAATTACATGCAACTACAGGGGTCTCTAATTGCTTATTACTAAATGAAAAGCACCCGAACCACCACAAATAGTAACCAACTTGCAAACAAACACATCTTCAATCTTGCCACTTGATAGTTTACATTGTTGATATT